CGATTATAATATTCCAGACATCAAGGAAGCCAGTTTGTCTAAGATTAAAAGTAAAGATTGTAATTAAATATTTTTTTAATATCTACGTTATGCCTGCCATTTTAGGCGCTTGCCTGTCGAAGTTGACCGAAATTAACCGTTATGCCTGCCATTTTAAACGCTTGCCCGTCGAAGTTGACCGAAATTAACTTTAGCCCTCGAAATGATTAGTAATTTTGGTCAGGCCTAAAGTAGCAATTTTAATCAAATGGCAACTCCAAGTATGCACGTACGTACGTACATGCGTGCGTACGACATGTATACCGGCAGATCGATATAATTTTATTTGTGCCGTAATAAGATTTGCTTTTACTTCACTTATAGATGTCCGTATGCAGGTATATATGCACTTATTATTAAGCTATTAGTGATCCTCGCAGACTGACGATTGGAGTCGGAAAATTTAAAGGTTCTCGGTATATTTTGTTGGATGCATGCGGAATGCCTTTAAATGAATACACGTTCCAATCATCAAATTTAACCTACTTTTTGTAATACCTAGAGTAAATCTAACTGGTTCAAAGCTTTGAAATTTAATACGTACGTACACAAATTTTTGTAATGCATTACATAATAACGCGCTATCGATCAATATAAGGTTATTAAAAACTGTAAGGACTAGCACAAAGATCAATAGTGGAAGGTGATGGACGTCAAATGTAATTGTTTCACGAAAGCGCGGTTGAAAAGACCAAGTTCGTGAAGAATAGATAATTTTATTGACTTTTTTTTTTTTTTTGATTTACCCCTTTTTTAGAAAACAACGTTTTTTTGTAATAAGTTTCAACCTTATATTTTTTTTTTTTAAAAAAAAAAAATTCTCTTAAGCACTAACAAACGGTGATTATATTAGTTGATATATCGCTTCATATATAATCATAATCAATCAGATATTTTTTTAAGCACTCATATACAGAGAAAACATGAGTGAAAAAGGAACTGCGATCACTTCTAATATAAACTTTGAAAAAAATACTGTAAATGAACCTTTACTTTCACAAGATTTATTTGATTCAGTATTTGCTAATTTTGGAGATACATCTACTATTAGTAACATGGATTTAAGTCTTAAAAAGAAACCTGAATCAGTAAAAAGTGTAAAAAAAGGTAAGCAAGCTGAGAATTTGCATATTATCAACTATAAGATGATTATTAACAGTTTTTTTTTTAAGATGAAAAACCAACACTAGATTTTAGGCAATCATCATCATCTTTCTTGTATTCTTCACAAGGTAATATGAGCGAAAAACTGACGTTTGTGGAATGATGTTTACTGATATACTTTTTTTTTTTTTTTTTTTTTTAAGATGAAAAATCCAATAGCGTTGACTTTAGAGAACAAATTAATTTTGAATCAAGTGATACAACCGATCAAATTCCAATAACTTTTTCATCCATTTCACTGAATCTTGATATTGGTGGTAAGAACATATTTAGTCTGAAATGAATAAACGTTAATGTAAATATTTAATCTAAAAATTTGTTAATATATTGACGTAGATTTTGCACAAGAAAAATCGTACCAAAAAAATCAAGAAAAGAAAGAAACAAAAACAGAACGGAGATCATTTAGAAAAGATAGATCTGGTGATACGGCAAAATCAGATTGTGGGTGTTTAATAATGTGAATTTATTTTTATTCAGTAATATATAGTGATTTTGTTTTTATTCAGTAATATATACTACAGTCTCATGTTATTCTTTCTTTTTGGGGTTAATTAATTTAATTATATATTTATTTTTTCTTGGGTTAAAAATGTAAAAAAATTTATATATACATATATATATACCACATTTCTTTAAATATCTATTTCGATATCTACTATATTTAAATATTAGATAATTCTATAGATTATATCGTTTTAAGCACATCCATTTATATCATGTTTGTTTCCCTCTAATATTATTAATTAAACTAAAAGTATCAGATTAGTGTAAAGATCAACTCATGTTATTTACTGACGATTGACGTTTTATGCTTCCAATTTATTGCTAAGATATATTACAAAAATAACATTGAAACATATTAAAGTATTGAACGAGTTTGAAAGATTCATGATGAGAATGGATAACCAAGCATTAATGATTCGACAACGTATTGAAAAGGTACCACTCTATTGTTGGAATATCCTTAATATTGCTGCCTCATTTTGATCATTTATAAAAAGAATCGGCATGCTGCATTTCATCAGCATGATCTTATTGAGCACGAAATTAAAAATGAATGATGCGCTATAATTTCCTGGTGATGTAAATAAATGCCGATTGAATTAGTAGTCATAAATACCTTATTTATTTAATTTACTATGGAAAATACGAATATCTATGTCTTAAAACAATCTAATAACTTAATATTTCAAGATTTACTAATATTGAAAATCTACATCAAAAGATGTACATACTCACGTAATGATACGTGAAAGATTTACTGTATTTCCATACATGACCGTATTTTAAATTATTACATATTATATATAATGTTTTCTATACTGTATATAAACATTTCCTTTCTCGTGTA